ATGAGTGTGCTTTGCACCTTTTAGGTAACTGAAAGTGTGTCAGATTGGATAAACCGATAACAATAGGTTTTTTAAACTTTATTTAAATTAAGTTTCCTTACAGTTGTATGTACGTATCTATTATTCATCGTGTAGTTGCAATTATTTTTATTCGATTGGAAATCATTCAATTGCAGCTTGCTGAGAAATGTATATTATTGTTCAAAAAATTAAGTTGTAAAATATGCATAAAGAAGTACATGCATTCATACAAAATTTTTCATTTTTCTCAATCAATATTATTTTTCAGGTATTATTTTTTGTAAAATTACTACTTCCTGGTTAGTTTTATTTAAGAAGTTGTATTACTTGAATAACAAAAAATTTACTTATTTGTGGTTGATTTTACATTTAATTACTTAGGTTTTTGAAAGCTAAGATCTTTCTAACCGAAGTACGAGAGTTACTGTTTTAATGTTCTAAAAGAAGAGAATGGCTTTCAGACATAGTAATAATAATTAGAAGATATTAGTGAAAAGGCAGTTTTTACTAATACTTGTGAAAAATTACTGCAGCATTTTCACCAATGTTCCGGTAACATTATTACCACTATTAAATACAACACTTAAATCTTTAGTAAGATCCCCATCATTTAAATAAGACATTACCTCATCTTTGGAATATTTCATCAACATCTTTGCAATGGAAAATGCGATATGAAATGTACCCTAATGGGCAAACTGTGATTTATATCATTTATGAAATGTTGAAATTACATCTCTCGTATTTTTGCAACCTTACCTGAAAAATAACTAAAATTACTTATGGTACGACACTTTATGCTCTAGCAAAATAATACAAAAACTTTAAAATATTTTAGCAATGCTGAAATAACACGAAATGCTATAAGAATAATGATAATATAAGCTATTACTAAAATGGTTTGTGTTAAAAATTATTAATAATTAGTATTGAATTCAATATCACGTAGGAATTCAAGTTTTTTTTTGTCATTGTATTCATGAATCGGTTGTAGCTGCCTTAAATTTTTTATAAAATTCCAATAACGTTTTTGAGGAGATATTTAAACTTTCTATTTTTTTTCTTATACTCAACTCTGCAAGGCTAATCTTAAAGACTTTCTTACCTTTTTGGAATTCTATTACAGTCAAGTATTATTCTGGATCGTGCTTGCTAACAATAAGACGAAATCTATTTTAGAATCCACCATGTGTGTTGTAGGTTTTATAAGGCCAGTGGGTATGCTGATTTCATTTCTATGAATTGCGAGGTAAGGGTAATGCTCGTTTTCTATTGCCATTAGATGAGTCACATAATTTACTTTTAATTTCTATAAAATAGGCATATTCTATGCAGTTCATCGTGTAGGAATCCAAGAATGCAAAATGAACATAGATTGTATGTAGATGTATAACTGTCTTTTGCATTTATTTCTATTTGTAAGGAACATTCACAGATCATTTTATAAGTATCTTACTCTATGGTGACTGAAGGTTCGATAACTAATTGAAATCAAAAGTGTTGAGAATTGCTTCCGATCAGTGACTAGTATTTAGAAAAAGATTGTGGGTGCTGGGTAGTTTAGGAGTATGGATTTAGGAACAACACTTTAAGGTACTTCGTTGTTCAGTATTTGTCTATTCAGGTATTTATCCAATTGAGTAAATGGTTTTAAGCATGCGTCTAGCAGTGGTTTTAAAAGTATATATTACTACTATGTCGTCCCTTTCTTTATGTATAACCTCTATGAGTTGGCGGTAGTTAAAAATTGGCTAAGAATTTCATTTGTTTCGAGAAATCTCTAAGATTAGGAACCAACACACAATCACTATTAGTGATTCTATGTTGGGAGGTGAACTCGTTTCCCAGTTAAAGAGAGCGAAGTTTCTCAGGTCACCAGTTGTATAAAAAAAAAACTCTAATGTAGCTTTTATTTCAATTTAAATTAAGCATTGAATAATGTATTAATATCTGCAATACAAACAGCGATCANTGATGCGTAACACCCACTATAGCATTGGGCGTGGACGCGTATATGCTGTGCCTTAGCGGAGAGCATGGTATATGCGGTATTTCGTGATAAATTAAAAAATGGGAGTAAATAAAAAATAATGAATATAATACTACATTAATTAATAAACAGAAAACTAAGCAAGAGTAAACTGTCGTACAAATAACATAAAAGAATAAGGTGATATTTTGTTTCCATTAGCAGTAGAGAAATAAAAATTAGTAATCTGTTATACTAAACATACAGACATATACCTTTTATTGGATTGTAAAATATTCATGTTTTATTTAAAGGATCACTCATGAGAATTTCATCCAGAACACTGTTTCAAAAATGACTCTCAGTTACCTGTGGAGATGTAAGTGTTAATAGATAATTACAATTAATTAGATCGATTTCAATAATAAGCACAATTTTTAATGTAACATCCAAAGTTCTTATATTTTATTCCAAAGGATTCAACCACGTTGAGACGAATTGAGTTTTGATATTGAATGCAAGATGGAATTATATTTTTAACTTTATTTTTTGCCAAACTATATTTGAAAGGATTTAAAATTTCCTGCAGGGCTTGGTCGCCCTCTGGGACCTTGGGTGTCTTGAGCACAGCTCTAGTAATCTACCCAAATACTTTGCCTAAGGAGCGCCATCGCTATTCATAGTATCTCTACTACTTGGTGGCTCTCTCTCTCTTTTGGCTCGTGAGCGTCATGGTAAGTACCAGTGGTTGGGAGGGTTCCAGGTCTAGGAAGGCAGTGGATCTCCTCGTCCCAGATTTTCTGGAGGAGAAACATGTTTCCTCGTGCGTCAGCACCTTTTATATCCAACTTGCAGATAATTTGGCGCCGTAATTTGCGCTATCTCTCTGCGTACTATCGATTTTACTTCGATTATGCATATTCGCTGATAATTATGGCGCATATCTTATCTTGCTTCATAGGCGTAATTTACAGCGCACACTATATGCTTCGCTTGGACTCCTAAAACTTTTACTTGGCAAATGCAATGCATTTTTATTAATCATTTAAAAAACAGTTCAACAAATAAAAAAATATAAATAGGAATAAACAGTGTATATGTTAAATTTTCAGGTGATTAGGAATCCCCCGTTGCACTTCTACAGACCACATATTTCTTTTTAATGTGTCAGTACATCAATTCCTTTTTTTTTCTTACTTAACAACTTAGGTGTTATTCTGTACCTAAATAATCTGCATTAAATTATAGAAAAGAAATCTTCAATAGTGTTGAATACGCCTATGAATAAAATATTTTTAAGCCTACAATAAAGAAGTAAATATTACTCCAGCGTTAATTTTTAATGCTATATACATGTATGACTGTGATAAATGTAACAACTTCTTAAGCCCACAGTATAATGTAAAAAAAAAATAATTGCCATTTATGATAAATAAAATCTAAAGGGTATGTTTGTAAGCTTAGAATATAAAAAGTTGAGACCCAGATAATTTTCTTGATGACTTTGTAATAACAAACAGAAGGAATTTGTGTTAAAATATCATATGTTATATTAAGACAGAAAAAGATAATTTTGCTTTTAGAAAATATTTATATTGGAATAAAACTATTATCTTCATGTTGAATTCTGCATAATTGTCGTATAGATCTTGATTCAATAATAGTTTCGTAGATTGTGACAACGTCAAGGCTCTTTTACGCTTTTGAGATGGTACTACTTATAAACATCCATGATCGGTCTTTTCAAATTTTGAATTTGAAGTAATTATATAACAAGTATAGTTAAAATACAATATTAATTTTAGATCTCTTATTTAGGAGCTGCATAAAAACAGAATTCTTTTCTATTGGTAAAATAAGCACGAAATCATTATGCACATGCAAACAAATCATGTTACGAAAACAAAGTTCTAAGAGGCCCCCGTTTAAACTACCCAATAACATCGTTTTGTGTCAGAACCTTTTCAATAGAAATAAAACGTTTTTTTTTGTAATTTTTTAAGGTATAGGTATAGATATGTTAGTGGCTTGTCTTTCTTGACATAACAAAAAATTTTGTGGAAGAAGGTTGTTTCCTATTGGGTATGCAACTTAGTATCGATCTGTATTCTGTAGCTGGTTGACATAATCTCAAAATTTTTTCCAGCTAAATTGTAATGTAGTTAGTTTTAGAATGGACATCAGCATATGACTTGTTTCTCTTTATTAAATAACCCATTATTACTCTCGTAAGAGCATTTTTACGTTTATCCTAAAGGAGCCATAACAGACAACTCTAAATCGAGTTCCTCATGGAAAAAGTTGTTTACACGTATCGTTGACTACTTTTAAGATTCAACTCTTATGTATCATGCTGCTGAAACATTTAGGCTAAAAATAGCTGTATTAAGACAGCCTGAACGTTGAAAAAAAGCAACAAAGTGAATAACAGACAAACTATTAGTATTGTGCTATTTAGTTTTCAGCTAAAGTAACTTTTTTAACCATATACGTCTCATATTTAATGAACTATTCATAAACCTGTCCAACTAAATTTCTTAAGGAATAGAGAATAAATAAAATTTGTGTAGTTATTGCTCTCTTACACCAAACAAATCAACATATACCAAAAAACTTTTTTTTCTATAAAGAATCTTGTTAACTTTACTTGTGTACCAATTATTTATCGAAAAAATTAAGTGATTATTGTCAGATAAGATTTTTTAAAGTATCTGTGATGTTTTCTTATCGTGTACTAAAATAAAAGGGTTTTTTAAAACTAATGTTACTAATTTTTAGTCGTATGCATTTACCGTACATCAGTATCAAAGTCATTAAATCATGGTTCTCTCTAATTCCCTTAAAAAATAATAAAATTTTATTATATTTGCAAATAAAGAAGTTGTCCCAAGCATCTTTGTTCTTTTAAGAAAAATGTAACGTTTGCTTGAAAATTAATGACCCTTTTAGCTCGAGTCCTAATTGCTAAAATACCTTGTACCACCCTAGTCTAAGAAAATTTTTTACTTACCTCTCACGAACGTTGTTCGCTTGTCGCCGTTCTTTTTCGCGCACTGCTTTAGTACCTGGATCATCAGCATCTTCATCAGCGCTTGAACTACAAGTTTAAATAATATATTAAATTATTTTCATATATCTTATTAATTTTTTCTTATGGACTATTTTATATGAATCTTAACACTAAACAAGCACATACGTGCCTGTGATATTTTATTACAAGAAATTTTTTTAAATAATAGGCATAAAGAAGTATAAGGATTTTTAACCATCGGATTTTGTATTCATTACTTATTGCATTTCTTAGTATTGTTATTATTATTACAGCAAACTTTCACTATAAGTAATACATAAATAATATATAAATCTGCAATCACTAGCATATTTTCATTAGTTATAATTACTTGTTTAATGGTGCTTTTATTGGATTGTAAAATATTCATGTTTTATTTAAAGGATCACTCATGAGAATTTCATCCAGAACACTGTTTCAAAAAAGGAAGTGTATCAACCGAAGCGAAACGGTATAAAATAATATTCTTAACACACACTTTTATACCTAGTTGGCTGTCAAATTCATTAGGAGAAGTAAAAGAATGGGAAATAACCAGAGTCTGGAACTCAGAATCCCCCGATAAGAACGAAGTTCTCACACGTACATAGAATTCACATGTATATTGTAAAATATAAGGTTTGTAAATATATGTGAGTTCAATATGTTTTTTTTTCCATGGATTATGGAGGTATATTTATGTCTTCTCTGTACATTTTCCTGTCATGTATGAAAGGCTTGGGAATATTTTAAAATAATTTTAAAGGTTATTGTTAGGAGAAAAAAGAAAAATAAATCTTATATATTTGTAATAATATGAGTATAAAGTATGCTACAATGATTCCACAAATTTTAAACATTGATTTTACAGTAAAATATTAAAAATACTGAAATTCAAGGTTATGTCTTCACATAACTCTATACCTCTCTTTTTGTGTGCCACAATAATTTTTTTCCCCTTTAGGGAACCTGTAAAACTTGTTATTTTTTCTGTCTTGCTTCCTTTTAGATATATGGCATATTTTTCATATTTGAATGTTGTGTGAGCCATAACCATGGATAAACGTTTCTGCATTATTATTAGCCCGTACTAAACTTAATATAACTTTTCCAAGGATTTTCCATCAACACTTCATGAAGATATATTGAAGACATTAAAAATTGAGGTTATGTTTTTTTAAACTTAACGCCTCTGTTATTGTGTGTCACTTTATTTTTATTCCCTTAAGAAAACCCGTAAGACTCGTTATTTTTTACTCTACGTTGCTGCCTTTTAAAGATGTAGCGTACTTTACAATATTTGGAGGTTATACCACATTATTGATACTGAGATACATACTCATTTAATCAATACTGGCTATCTGCATCGGTCTGCCACATGTAAAAACTATTTGTTAATGTATTTTATTAAAGTAATATTATTAACTAGTATAACTACTATACTGTATTACTATTAGCTACTTTATTTTCTACACATGCGTGCAGGCAAACATGTACACAATTGCACAGTAAAAGTAGAAAGTCCACACATACCCTCATCAAACATGCACACTTTCATGGTTACACCTATAATTCCGTGAACAAGTTACACTCACATACATACGTGCATGTAAGCATTGTATACGAGAATATGGCACACAGTAATACACTACAACATGCGCCTCAGCTTCAATGAGTGTGAGATTGTGTATGCAGGCCAACTAAAAAATTGCTCCCATGTATTTAAATAACATCCATTTGCAAAAATTCTTTTTGAATTCGATTCATAATCGTCCCTCCGCTACCTGGCTTTCTCTCTCCTTCTCTCTGTATGTCACCGCTACGACACTGCCTTCCCCATCCCTACAAATGCGCCCTCTTTCCTTACGCTTTCTGGCTGATGGATCTCTGCGCTGGTGGCTCTCTCTCCGTGTCGCCACTGCTGCTCAGTATCCCCCCTAAAAGAACTTTCTTTTTTTTTACACTTTCTGGATGATAGGTCCCCGTTCCCAACCATTCTTATGTACAGGAAATACTCAAGGAGTATATATCCCATCGTAACCTGCGGTAAAGAACTTCGTTCTAAAAACGAGTGAATGTTTGGTGATAGCTAAACGTACACTTTTATTTCCGAAGTATACATATAAAAAATTAGAAAATAAAATTATAACAAGAGTTCAATAAATACTTTTACATAAAATCAGAACCTGTAATAATTAGTTCTAACCGGTTTCAGAATTGCAGGGCAAAGAATATTAATTTTATCATTTTCCTGTACTCATAAGCCAAATAAATAAATAGAAACAAAAAAAATATGAAAACTGTTTGAATCTATTACATGTCAGCTTTTCAATTTCACCCTACGTCATTTTAGTTGTTTTTAAGGGAGCTAAATCTAGACCTACACTGCTCTACTTGCATGTCATACCGTGTCGTCTCACTTTTACTTTTTACATCGCAAGTCTAACCTTAAAAAAAGCATTTGTAAGAAAACTCATCTCACTATCAAAAATTGCAGGTAGGAGTCTATTAGCTTATATCCTTAAAATACTTTTGTAAGCCTTTCTTTATCGTTAAGTGACAATTTACGTAAATCAATAAATTTTTTATTTTTATTCTATTTTATTCCCAATCTATTCCTAATAATAAAATTTTAAGACTCTTAAAAAAGTTATACTTAATAAAAATCGTCAACTAACAAAACTTACTGTGTACTTTGTGGCTCTCCGAAGTGACAATTAAAGCGAGCCACAAAGCCTAAACCCATGAAGTCAGCAACTACCAGCCCCGTAGCAAGTAAGACAAAAAAGTTTTAACTAAAGCTTCATGCAAGATGCATTTCTTTGTGTGGCGTGTCAGTGAGTAGCTTTCTACCGCACATTAAGTGTGGTTCTCAATTATTACTTTAATATTTTAATGTAAGTGGTTATAATTGCTTGATAAATAAATTATAATTTATTGTAAAACTGAATAAAGAAGAACAAGCATACTAGATTATGCAGGATCTTTCATTGATTAAAATCCAATAAAATCAATAATATCAAAAGAAGCAGCACTGAAGAATCATATAAAATCAAAAAAAAAGAAAGAAAAGGTATGCCGAGAGTTAAATTTTACAATTTACGTATTCCTTTCCCCATTATACAAACAAACAAATAGTTGGACTATCTGCTATCTCGCAGCCTGTGAAGGAGCGTGAGACTGTGGTCCATAATCTTTGGTTTGAAACCGAAGGCAAAATTCAATACTATTAATTCTTATTTAACAAAAATTGTTAGATGAGCATGGTTTCTGGTCTCTAGCCATACGTTTGTGTAGTATATGTGATCTTATTACTATTTTAAAAGAATCACCAAGTTCTATTCAACAAAATATGTTAATAAATGATGCGTAACACCCACTATAGCATTGGGCGTGGACGCGTATATGCTGTGCCTTAGCGGAGAGCATGGTATATGCGGTATTTCGTGATAAATTAAAAAATGGGAGTAAATAAAAAATAATGAATATAATACTACATTAATTAATAAACAGAAAACTAAGCAAGAGTAAACTGTCGTACAAATAACATAAAAGAATAAGGTGATATTTTGTTTCCATTAGCAGTAGAGAAATAAAAATTAGTAATCTGTTATACTAAACATACAGACATATACCTTCACATATGATCTGCGAACTAAAGTGGTCTATCTATTTCTACCTTGAATCTGCTTATAAAAGCAGTTTGTTTTCTTAGTCCTGCTTCAATAACAGACATTCTTAGTCCAGGATCTGCTTATTAGAACGATTTTTTCTAATGTACAAAAACACGATAGCACAGGGAATAAATTTCAAAAAAGTTATGAATGAGGATCCGAAATACAAATAATCCTATTACATAAATTCTGTCACGTGAACGGGTGGTAAGAAAAAGAAAAAAAGTGGCAAAAAACTTGACTTACAAACACTCTTAGCCAAAAAAAATTTTCTGGAGAAAAAATTAGATTTTCTCAATAATCAATTACAACATTACTGTAACTCTGATGCATTTAATACTAATTTACCAAAAAATGAAAAAATAAAAACACAAGAAGTGTATACGCTTCAGAAAAATAATTTTTATAATTCAGAATTTAACGTTCAGCACAAATGCAATAATTTTAAAAATTTGATTGAATACACAATTTGATCGATTATATGTTTCCCCAGAAAAAAAGTTTCTTAAAGGCCCTCAAGAACATTTAAACGAAAAGACAGAAGATTACTCATATACACACAAGCTTATAAAAAATTATTAAGACAGTATTCAAACGTGGGCCCTCATGCTCTCTCCTTATTTAAAGAGGAAAGAGTGTCAAGTTATGTTGGATACTCTCTCTCATGCAGAAAATGCTCAAAAGGCCTTGATGTAAGATAAGGGCAATTTTCAACGTGGATATGATGACCCCAATAAAAGACATGACTTTAGACATGTTCATAAAAGGACCAGCATCTATAATAAGCCAGCAGGTAGATGCCAAAGAACGTGCTTCCCTAGCTGACGCCTTCGATTTTGTATTGAGATTGGAGAGCCAAATAAGAACAGGTATAATCCTAGACACACAATACCAAGGGTTACCTCGTAGTGATTTTATAAATAATTTTAGTAACTCATATCAACAGCAGAATGAAAACCCTAATCAGCCATTCTCATCACATCAAATAGGAAAAGTTAATGAACAACAGTTCGACAATCAGAATCATCATGCTAATAGGCAGTATAAAAATTATCAAAATAATAATAGATAATATTAAGAATACAGTAATACACAGAATTTCAGTGCAATTTATCAGAGTCAGGAGAGAGATCAAAATTTTTAAAATCAGTCGAAGAACTATAACTATTATTAAAATCGTTTTGGACGATATAATAACAAAAATACTAACGATTATTGCACTCAAAGGAATACTTGTTTAAACCGTAGGAATAATCAAGAATACTGAGGCAGAGGTCAGAATTATAATAAATACCCCTAAAATAATAAACATAATGATTCTAACCAACAACCTTTCAATCCTCATTATCAGAATCAGAATTTTAAAATTAGCAC